ACCACCCAGCCATTGTGCTTCTATGTACGTACGTCAAAGGAACTTTTTGCACACACACAAGAATATTCGGATCAGCTTTGTAATGGTTTGTGATAGTAAAAACTGGAAGCTATTTTAAGCATCTAACAAAGAGAACAGATGTGTAAACTTCAGTATAATTGTGTACTGGGATGCTACATAGCAGTGAACCTGGTTGCATTACTACAATTACTGGTTGCATTACACACAACAACACGCATGTCACCAATATTAAACAATAAAAAGAGCAAGTCACAAAAGAATACATACAGTATATTCTAGTTCTATAAAGCTCAAAATCAAGCAAAACTTGAAAAAAATAATATGCAAGTATATTAAGCAAAACTAAAAAGAAAAGCAAAACAACAAACTCAAAATTCAGGATAGTGGTTTTCTCTGAGAGAGGGAGGGAGATGGAATGAGACAGGGCAAAAAATGAGCTTCAAAGTTATTGACGTCATTTTTCTTACACTAAGTGGTGAGTATATGAATGTTCAATTTATTACTAATCTCCAAACCGCACATGTACTGTATATGTACTCTTTTGTATGCAGAGATGTTTCCTTTTAAAAGGCAAATATTGTCACATTGGGCTAAACACTATAATCCAACCATATGTCTCATACAAAGGACACACTAAAAACAAAATAACATAGAAAGGTTAAAAATAAAGGGATGGGCAAAATTATATCAGACAGACACAAAGAAAAAAAGACATGAGTAGCAATGCTAATGTAAGATAAACTAGAACTCAAGACAAAAAATACAAAGAAGGCCAGCCCAGTGGCGTAGTGGTTAAGTTCATGTGCTCCGCTTCGGTGGCCCAGGGTTCATGGGTTCTGATCCTGGATGCCGACCTACACACCGCTCACCAAGCCATGCTGTGGTGGCATCCCACATACAAATAGAGGAAGATGAGCGCAGATGTTAGCTCAAGGACAATCTTCCTCAAGCAAAAAGAGGAAGACTGGCTACAGTTAGCTCAGGGCCAATCTTTCTCAGAAAAAAAACCAAACAAACACAAATAGCTTAGAGTGTTCTTTTATATATAGATATATGTAATCCATGATTATTGGAAATATTATCAGCCACAAACCATAATGAGATAAATAGCATAGCCTCAAAACATACAAAGCAAATAACAATAGAAATAACCAAAGAAAGTGACTGAAGCATAATTTTTAAATTTTTTTTGTTTTTAAATTTCATACAGTGAAATTAAATCTTCTGGGTGAACAGTTCTATGAGTTTTGACAAATGCATAAAGTCGTGTAACCACTACCACAATCAAGGGACAGAACAGTTCTATCACCCTCAAAAACGCCCTTCCTGCTGCCCCTTTGTAGTCAAAAGCTCCCCATGCCCCTAGTTCCTGGAAACTCTTTGATCTGTTCTCCATCCTTATAGTTTTGTCTTTTCTAGAATGTCATATAAATGGAATCACACTGTCTTCTGAGTCTGGCTCCTTTTACTCAGCATAATGCCTCTGAGATTCTTCCGAGTGTTGCATGTATGAATTAGTTCATTCTATTTTATTGCTGCCTAGCATTCAACTGTATGGATGTACCACAACTGCTTACCACTCACCCAGTGAAGGGCTTTTGGGTGGTTCCAGTTTGGGGGATTATGAATAATGTTATTATAAACATTTCTGTACTGGATTTTGTGTGAACATAAATTTTCATTTCTCTTGGGTAAATACCCAGAGACTGCTAGGTCATACGGTAAGTGTATGTTTAACTTTATAAGAAACTGTCCAATTTCTTTTCCAAAATGGTTATACTATTTTGCATTCCCACATAGTCATGGAGCAAAGTTCTTGTTGCTTTGCATCCTCACCCACATTTGTATTTGAAGCATTTGAACACATCACTATCAATCAATGACAGTACATACCCTCCCAATCAAGTATAAAATACACAGTGATTTGGACAATGTAATTAAAACACAACTAAGGTTGAATTAATAAATATTCCAAGTCTATATTTGTACATGATAGTGAAAAATGCTCATTTCAAGAATCTATGGAATATTTATAAAAATAGTTCATATTCTAGGCTACAAAGAAAATTTTAATACATTTCCCAGTGTAGAAACTGCACCACAATGTAATAAATGTTAAAAGTTTAAGTAATAATAAAAATAATCATATAGAAGTTACAAAATACTTGCCAAAATAATTATTGCTTTGGACCAAACAGGAATTTTTAAATTTAACTAACGACTACGTAAAAAATAATGAACATAAGAGCCCTATTCAACTACAAACTCATAGGCTGAAATGCTTTGATTATTACAAAAAACAGTACATTTTTCTGATTAAAAAGAAAAAAGGATAAGAATCCCCAAGGGAAATTATATGAAGGAAATAAGGATAAGCAGAGATTGTGGCTGCTTACTGTTCCCTCTCCCGGTAAACCAAGCTCTTAGAGGGCAGGGCCATATTCCTATCCACTAGAGAAAAGTGCCTGGCTCGCTGTATGAGCTCAATACTTAGAACACATTCAGCTTTCACAAAGTTAGGCCTTCTCTCCTTCGGGCTTCCACAGTAGGCTTTTCATAACTCTACTTCAGCATTTAATAAAGTACTGCAATCACATAAGCTCTCCACATCACACCAATCCTTTAAAAACAAATATTTCTTTACCACTCAATGTGCCAGGCGACTGACATTCATTCATTTAATCCTTACAACTACTTTTTTGGAAATTCCTATTTTTCAGAAATTTTACGCTCAGTAATGTTAAGTGATCAAGGTCATAAATGCAATTCATCAGAAAGTCAGGATTTGGTTGCACATCGGCTTACTTTCAAACAAAAGCTCTTTCCACCAGCAGAGGTTACTTTGAACTCTGGGGCAAGGCTAGTTTTCTTCACTTTTATACCCTCAGCTGCTAGCCTAAGCTCCTGGCACAGAATATCTCAAACAAGTTGGGCATTACTTGCGTCCTGTTGTTTGTAAAATTTTCTTTCGTGTACTGAATACTGCAAAGATATGCACTAAATTCAAGCCGGCGATCCACACGTGGAAACAAATTCGGGAAACATTCCGCACACCGCACGACTCGCCGTCTTCCCTTGAGTCCCATCTCTATGGTTGGGACGTGACCACTCCATACCCTGGAGGACCCAGAGAGCACGGCCAATCATTAGGCCACTTTACCGGCACGTGGCCGGAAGTTTGACTTGCTATTGGTTAATAGCGGTAAAGCCCGCCCAACCACATCCCGTTTGCTCCTTTAAGTAGGAGCCGGCACCGCTCCTCAGTCTTTCGGCGACCGTCAAGCTGGGGAGGTGAGGTTCCTTTTGCGGTGGGCCGTGGCGCGTTGGCCTCGGGTATAGGGACCTGGGAGCCAGGGGTGGGGCGGGCGGCCAGCGGTGATGACATCCCAATCAAAGCACGTGTTAGACTGCTGACGCGGGTGATGCGAACTGGAATCTGAGCGGGGCCGCCGCCGCGGCGGGGAGGGACCGGGCCTGCGGGGGCACACCCGCTCACCCACCTCTTTCTTGCAGATCCCAGCAGCGCCGAGGACGTCGGCTGTCACTGTCATCTCAGTTCTTCACTCTCCTCCTAAGCCCACCAATAAAATGATTTGATCACATGGCTGGTGTCGTGTTTCTTTTCGCGACGCGCTGCCTTTGAGCCCCTGCTGCGCCTGTACGTGGCGCCGGGGGTCAGGCTGCGGCGCCAGAGCACGCGCTTGCGCATAACTGGGGCCGCCTGCCCCCCGCTGGCGGCCCTTTTAACCGTGAGCAACAAGGCAGCACCGGCTGCCGGGGCGGGAGGTTTTCCCCGGATTGTGATGACTCAGGCGTCAGCCCTTAGAGCCAAGGTCGAAAGGCCCTAGGGAGAACGTCGGAGATGCTGTAAGCTCTGCTACTTAGTGCCCCGCACATTCCTGTGCCTTCCCTGTAGTCTCTACTGTCGTGTTCTCTGGATAAGTGAGACTTGCAGGTTCAGTTAACCGCGGCCCGGATGGTATCCGCAGGGAGGGAAGATGAGAATCGGGCTATGGCCTCGAGCAGTTTAAGGGCCATGGTGCACTTGACAGGAACTGGCTTCGGTCTTGAGCCTGCCTGAACTTAACTCATCGGGCTGAGGTGCAGCCGCGACCTATTTACAAAAAATACTATTTAGGGCCAATTGCTTAGGTGGATACCGTGTGCCAAGCCTCCGGCTAAAAGCTTTGGGCAAGTTAATGTGTCCCATTAGCCTAAACAGCTCACAATAACAGTAGTTGTGGTGAAGATGATTTTATGCATGCTGGGCACAACACAGGCACCCAAATAAATGCACCAGTCACTCTTCGTAATCCAGTTAGATTCTAGGTGATGAATTTCTCACCTGGCTTCAGGTGAAATGTGCATTAGTTCTGAGAACGAGGCAGCACTGTTGAAAGGCAAGGAGGCACAAGTGCGGTGCCTAAATTGCTTTGGCGCTTAATTGGAAAGGCCCCCGAGTTAAGAGGATTACTAGTCACTTAAAGGTTAAGGTCCAGCTCAGGAGCAGGACTGGCCCCCACCTGGGGTTTTTAAATGCGGGTTGAGGATAATAGCACCTACCTCATCCATCTGGTAAGGACTACGTTACCTTCTTACAAGAGGGCTGGTCCAGTTATCACCCAGGAAATTGAAGCTGCTATTGGCAGCAGAGGGGCCCACTGCCCTGTACCCACTGTTGATTCTGTCCCTGTTATCTAACCAGGATTCAGTAATAACTTAGATGCTTATCTGGTATTTGATGAGATATTTATTTTGTGAAACAATGCAAGCGATTGTAAACCCCCACATACTATTTGATTAAGTGCAATAGGGTACAGTCATGTGTAATCTCTTTACACAATAGTGCATCTATTCCTTTGCCTTTAGTTATTGCACAAAAATTATAAAGACCAGTGAACAAGACATGCGGACTGACAAGCAAATCGGCCTACACAATGAGAAATTAGAACAGTACAATGACTAGAATGGTCAAATAATTTAAATCAAATGTTTTAATGGTACAATTAAAGTAATCAAATAAGGGTTCAAATATTTTTTCAATATATTAATTTCTTTAAAGTCATGTTCAGGCAAGGTGCTGTTTAAAAAACCACTATTAGCTTTGTCCACATATGTAAGTTATCAAAAGTTACCCAAGGTAATTTTGATACTGAATGCAGCTTTAAACAATAAGAAATGGTGTTTTTAAGTGTACTTCTCAAAGCAAATTATACACTTAGAGCCCCCAAACTTGTAAACCAAACATTCTGACACAAATGCACAAAATAAGTTGGCAACATTAAAGGTCACATTAATTTTGAGATATGTAGTGTATGATGTTGAGCAAACTTGGTCTTGACCCTCATGATGATCATTAGCAGCTCTCCGTTTTGGCCATCAGAAAAGGAAACTGCCCACAAAACATCCCAAACCGGTTAGATTAACAAAGCATTTAGATGCCTATATAAAGCTTCCCGGAGCACACAAAGTGCCAGATGGAAAGACTGGCCTGGCTTTCTGGCCCCACCCCAATCCAGTCATGTGCCATGTATGACGTTTTCACATATGCTCAAGTCTCGGGAAAACATTTGGGATCAGAAATCAGGTGACTGTATCTTATTGGTAAAAGGCTTGGGATGGTTTGATCTCATGGCTTTGCCTAATTTTCACAAAGATCCCACTGTCCCCACCCCAGCTGATAGTGTGTTAGGGTGTGTGTATGTTCTATGGCTACTTGCTTCCAAAACGCAGAATTTAATATGAAAAGTAAGTTGCTATGCATATCTCTTTATCACCAATGAAATGGTTCACAAAATGCCACTCCCCACACGTTACTGAATTGAGATCTCTGGAGTTTAGAAGGCTGTATCACACACAAACTGTAGAAGTGAGAAAATGTTCCACTGTGCGCTGGCTGCCTGAGGAAAAGCTTTGGAGGCGAGAAGGCAAGGGGAAGCCTTCCAGTTGTACAGCTTTGCTCTTAATTTGCTCTTTTGCTGCCACAAAAACTGGTAGACTCAAAAAAGCCATGGTGTGATTCACCTGTCACCTCCGGATCCACCATGATGATGCTTCCACAGTCTCCTTTCTGAGTTAAAGCTCTGCAGCAGACAATCTAGACACCAGTCACTGGACGTGTGGAATGACACCTGATGGTAGAATGGGCCATGGCAGGCAGAGGGTAGAACTGTGGCACAAGGAAAAGCCAGTGCTACAGCACAGATGGCAGCCAAGAACCCCACACCTTGAGTGAGATCTCAGAATACTGGGAACAGATCTTCACCCATCACAGCTGATCAGCAGCCTCCACAAGTGGGTCTTTCAGGAGACTGGAAGTGGAGCGAGGGTCCATGGCTGAGTGCATTATAGGGATATAAACATCATCCATGTTTGGCATGACAAAAACTTTCTGTAGAAAGATATTAAAGAATAGCCATGTGGAAGAATGCTTTGTTTATTCAGGCTGTCACCCTACCATGTTCTGATAATAATTTTATACAAGTTTTTAAAATATATATAAAACAACATTCCAAACTAATTCCTGTACCATATTTAGAAAGACTTGAATCACATCAGTGCATGAACACAACAAGAACCCAATAAGTCAGCTCTGAGGCAGAAGCAGCATTTTTTTTTTTTTTTAATTTTTTTGTTTATTTATTTTTCCTCCAAATCCCCAGCAGACAGTTGTTATGTCATAGCTGCACATCCTTCTAGTTGCTGTATGTGGGACGCGGCCTCAGCATGGCCGGAGAAGCAGTGCGTCGGTGCACGCCCGGGATCCGAACCCCGGGCCGCCAGCAGCGGAGCGCGTGCACTTAACCACTAAGCCACGGGGCCAGCCCAGAAGCAGCCTTTGATTTGATGTACATACAATAAAATTACTCGTGAATTGATAAATACTCAACATTGTTTTAAGAGAATTGGTTTAAGCTGCTCATAGTATTTCCAAATTACCATGTCCAGAACACATATTCCAAGTGAATTTATCCATTTAATACCTAGCAACAAAATGTAAGCTAATTTTTTTTTCAAATATATGAAAGAAATCCTACTATTGTGAACACCCGAAGGACCATCAGTGATTGACAGTAATGGTACTTTGCCAATCCTGCTTATAAACAATTTTATATGAGTAAATTTTGGCAATGCATTCAATCTTCAGTAATGTCCTCTTAAAAAAGCATAAATGAAGACAAAAACAGGTGGCTATGGGAGGGTGCAGCAGTTACCCTTCAACTTCCCAACTTGCCTCAAAAATACCAGGCACCAATCTCTGTCCCCTTGTCCCTTCTTTCACTCCTTGTACCCCAGTACCCCTACACGGATGACCCACTCAAATTCCTAATGTAGGATCTAGGGAAAAGGAAAAGGAAAAATACTAAAGGCATAAGGTTTTCTTTCCTGTCACTAGGTTCAAAGTACTCTTCCGTTTGGTGACAATATTACGCTTTCCAGAAATTGGTTTTCAGTTATGGTTAATCTATAGCTTTTAAATAATAAAAATATAATATCTTAAAGGCAATAACTCAAAATATACCACTGCAAAAATAATATGGGTCTTCTTCAAAAGGTGAAATTCATTACGAAGTAAATAGTCTGCTAATCCATAAAACCTTGAAAGACAACAGTGCCTCAAACAGCTGATAAAAATTTGATAGGAATAGCTCATCCCAGGGCCTCGGCTACATTGCTATTACCTTGGTGGCAAAAAGCAGGAGACAGGCTTAGAGAATGAGCTTTGGCTTAGTAACCCACCTTTGGGGTTTCCTCTGAAGACTACTGAACAGGGTTCTGTGGATGAGTTTTAGGGCTTTTTGAAACTGCACCTGTGATCTGTTTGATCACATGTGTACCTTCCTGGGATGAGGGTCCACAGCTTTCATCAGATTCTCCAAGGCAGATCCCGACCCAAGTGAAGTCCAGCACCTCGGTTCTACCCAGAGCTTTTAGACTCAGATGAAACACCAGATGACACTGCAGCTTACCTGAAACTCTTGTTCCAGTTTCTTCTCTATCCAGTCTGTCACATGAACTAAAGTCACTTCCCTCTCTCCAAGTTTTGGCCGAGCTTTCAGCTCTACAAATGGTGGCTTCCGGAAACCATACCTTTTTGAAGAAGAAAAGTAATAACCACATTTAGAGGCAAAGAAAGGAAGTAGACAAGTGCCAACAGCAAACATTCCTGATTTACATGGGGCTTTATCACTACCTAAATGTTCTCTTAGTCTGAAACTCCCTCTAAAAATAATTCAATGCAACAAGTATGAATTGTGAACTCCCTGTGTCCCTGGGCTGTGTGTAGGGCTGTGATAATTTGAGAAGAGTTCTGACAAACTGGGAAAGCAAGGAGGCACCACTGGAAAAGTCTGTGACCTAGGCATTGTTTTCTGGTTTTTATTTTTCCTAAAATGGCAAGGACCTTTATTGTTTCTATTTTTATAAAAGTAGTATATGTATGTTACAGAACTCAAAATATGCAAGTGTATAAAGCAGAAAGTGAAAGATGCTGCCTCTCTCTGAATCTCACCCCCAAGACAAGACCACTGAGAGAAGTGGGGTCAGTGTTCCCACACTCCTAATATGCCTATGTAAACACAGAACGTTCTATAATGTGCTTTTTCATTCCACACTCTACACCATGCTTTTTATGGCTTCCCAGTGGAGACTGTATGCTATCAAACTATCTAGAAACTTCAATCTGTCATGGACCAATGTTTTAAAAAATACAATAAAAATGTCAAGTTGCTATCAATTTGTTTCTAGACACTCTCAATATCTATACTTATCTTTGTGGATCAATAACAAATAGTTCAGCATGTAAGCATGCACTGGATAGCACTATCCCAGAGGCCTTTAATTTTATCTTCCACTGTGGCACTTGCAACTGATAAATCTTAAAGCTTAGAAGGGAAGAAATGTATCAACTCTTAGTATTAAGTTTTTTTGTGTGTGTGAGGAAGATCGGCCCTGAGCTAACATCTGCCAATCCTCCTCTTTTTGCTGAGGAAGACTGGCCCTGGGCTAACATCCATGCCCATCTTCCTC